TGCTAAATGTCTGGACTGCATACATTTGAGCAGAGTGAAAATCACTGCCAGGGATAAATAGGCTGTGGCAGAGTGGCACCATTCCCAAACTCATACTGTCTCCTTCCTGGTGTGGGAGTTTACTTACGGAAGGATGCATTAGCTGGTGATGCTTAGGGATTGCTACTGTATTTGCTCAGAGGGGTAGGACCTGCTGGTTCTGTCTGTGCATTGATTAGAGCACAGTTGAGAAGGAAGGGAGGGGTTTTGCTGCACTGCTGGCAGGCCTAGCCCTGGAATTTGCGGGTGGGGAGAAGGGGATGGGTAAACTTGCATTTAAGTCATCTGTGGTTGTGCTGCCCATTCTAGGCTGCTTCCCTGAATCAACAAGCAAGTCCCCAAAGCTCGAATTCGCAGCAGCCCCGCAGGCCAGCGCCTGCACGGCGCAGGAGCCTGCTGCCCAGATCTGGGGGTGCCCTCCCTGCCCTCAGCCCCCGCGTCGAGGCCCCAGTGCCTGCAACGGCTCCTACCCCGGTGACCCTGCAGCTGCTTCAGCCTCGTGGCACCCGCAGTCCTCGGCCCCTCCTGAAGCTGGGAGAGCCCTCGATCTTACTCTAAATAAGCGCAGAAGAAATTACAGTTTTACTAGTTAAACCAGACTGAATAAATAGGGTGAAATAGGAGGGAAGCAAGGAGAAAAACGTGCGTGACCCAGAATATCCTTTGTAGGGTTCAGTCAGTTGCTTTTGGGATCTGTTTTGAATTACCACTTTGGCTTCTCTTTAGAAGAAAGAGGAATTACCCATACTCTTCCATCTTTTGAGGAAGAATGTAGAGCAACATCTTTATATTGCCTCTCTAAACGATATGCATACATATAAGAGTTATTTAAGGTAAAGAATCTATAGATTATCGTCATTAGGCTCAATATTCACAAGCATGTTTTTCTAAAAGGTTGTACTTGTTTTTGTTTACTTGTTTTTATTTATTCAGTATTCAGAAGCATGAACTTCTAAATTGTGACAGACAGAAGATGGAATATTTATATTTATTATGTAACAGGAGACACTGTATGTGATTACTATTTATTCACTCCTTTCTTCTTTAATCTTCAGAAATCACATTGCCTTTCTCTTTTTTTTTTTTTTTTTTTTCTTTTTTCTTTTGGAGGCCAGAAATGAAACAGGACTGTACCTGCAAAAATTATTCCCTTTAGGGCTAGCCCAGTACAAGATGAAGGCTGAGTTCTCTCCATCCAGACATAACTATGCAGCAGAAATCTCCTGAAGAGGGATTAAAAAAAGAGAATGATAATGTGTCTGGAATTTCTTTTTGAAACAAACATCTCGCAGCAGATGCCAGTAGGAAGGATTTGGCGGGGAACTCAGATGACTGAAGTGTTTGGAAATGCCTGTCAATACTGTCTATTCCGCATCCCGGTGCGCAGCGCGTCGCGCGCGGCAAACACGGCGAATGAGCCGCTGGGTTTCAATGCCATCTGCCGATGTACTGTTGCAGCACCTTGGTGTCTGACTGCAAACAGAATGTAATTCATCCCTATCTAAAACCTACTTTCAGAACAACAAATAACCTCATCCTCTACTTCTATTTGTTCTTCTTAATTGGAGCTCGTTAGAATGCTGTCACTTCTTGATCATTTCAATCTCTCCAGATACAAGAACTACAGAGAACTGCAGAGGTAGTGGTGAAGAGTGCTAGTTCAACAGCCTCTTCCAGTAGCATCAGCTCATCCTTTTTCAGGATCTGAATACAGGGGTGCAGCCAAGCTATTTTAGCTTGGCATGACTTCTCTCTCCTTGAGCCTTCTGTGACATTGAACCATCTTCAGTGAGAAGAGGTGGTATTTCTAGCAGAGCAGTCCAAGACAGATTTTATGAAAAATTCACATAAAATGTAGAAAAAGGATGAGGATGGCCTCCAGCCAAGCTTTGGAGGTACCAAAAGCTTCTTCCCTTTCTGCATTTAGAGGGATTTTCCTGGGAATTAGCAGTAGTTCCTGCATAATACCAATTTCTTGCTCTCCACAGAAAGTTGGCAGAAACTGTAGAGAGCACTTTCCCTCTGACCTGACCCAAAAGTTTCAGCACACAATTTAAAAGAATCAGCTTGTTTTAGATAAGCTTGTTTGGATAAGCTTATTTGAGATCCTAGGCTGCTATACCTCATGAGAGTGCGTCTACTTTGTTTTCCGTGTTTTTCAGTGCTTTTTGTCCATCAGGATCTTCATGCTCATTTGCTTTTTAAATGCCTCAAGCTGTTGCATATTTTATTGTCCTCCCAAAAGATATATCTGCCCTATAGTGTAGACACACCTGAGCTAGCTTCACACTGCTCAGGCAGTGCTGGTAGCAGCGTTGCTGCAGAAGCATGGGCCTGAGGGCAGGATTTCTGAGCTCCTTCAGCAGGTTTCACAGCCTGGTCCAAGTTCTGTGCTGTCAGGACTAACATGCTGGCAGGTCTCAGGTTCGTTGAGAGCTGAGTGCAGGCACTGCCATCACTGCGATGCAGCCTTCATAAATTGTGATGTTTATGAAACAGTGAGTAGGCAGACGCGAAGCTGCCATTTAAACAAAACACCAGAAAAATTGTCCAACCTACAGCTTTTACATAATAAGAAAAAACGTGTTACTTCCATTATCTGAGCACAGGTTATCATTGAACAGAGTACTCTACGTTTTTCCTGATTTTTTTCTTCTCCTTACAATTCAGTTCTTTAAGTAATAAAGGAAAATAGATACTAGTGATTAAACTGTAGGATATTCCTTCTTCTGGGTTCTTCAGCATCTCTTATCTCTCTGTGTTTGCCATATATGTGGAAAAAGAATGTGCTCTGAGGGAATATTCTTGGTACTGTGAAAATAGTGACAGCCACAACAAGCTGCTGGTTTCAGCACATAACAACTTTAACACAAAGATATCAGAGGAAATGGCAGATGTGAACTGGACCTAGTCTATTATAAGAATGGGAAGTTCAGTAGTTCTTTCTTTACAGTGAAATGAGCCACAGAACAGTTAAAACTTACAGTTCAGGCTGCAAATTTGTGGCAGAATCGTTTATATTGTTTATATATCCTGGCGGGATGAAATCAAAGTTAATGAGCAAATTCCTATAGCAGAATAGTTTATGTACCTGCCTGTACTGTGTTACATTATTAACCCTTTTACAGGGTTAAGGAGAATTCAGATAATCAGCTGAAGATCTAGTTCAAGGTTTGAAACAGCCTAAATACACACTTGAATATAGCTGGTTTGTGAAAGTGACTCATCTGAAAGATTCCTTTTAATAAAATTATACGGTAATATGAGCTTACTGTTAGTAGCTCATTTCACTGAATTTGAAAGGAAACACTTCAATGCATCATGTTAAGACCTGTGTCTTTGCATGGACAGGATTAACCAAGTTACACGGTCATTGCAGTTACAGAAAATACTTGATTCTAGGGCAATAAGTCTGGTTTTTTCTCCAGAGTTCAAACTAAACCCTGGTGCTTAGTTGTGTTTCTTTTTACTGAATCTGTTATGAAATCACATTGCTGAGCCAAGGATACAGGAAGATTTGCAGTTAATTAAATCTTCTGGCATGGTACACGGGTCCCACACAGGAACATTTCAGATGGGAGGAGATGCAGCCAGAAGAGCGGTGTGTTGCTATCGAGCCAGCAGGACTCCCAGCAATGCTTATCCTCTCCTGGGAATTGAAGGGTCTTGAAAATAGCTGGAAGTCAAGTTGTCCTTTGTCCTTTTCTTCATCTGCACAGGCTCAAAGCAGAACTCTGATGGAAAGGCTGGTCCTTTTGAGGTTAACAGGTTTAGTTAATTATTTGCAATTTGAACATCAGTAAAAATGTACAAAGATTTGAGAGTGCCAACTTGGCCTGCGTAAAGAAGCTGAGCCACTTGAAAGCTTACTTCTTAATGAAACCCTGGCATGTACAGGCAGTCTTTTACTGACTGTTACAAAGGCCAGAGGTTTTGAGTTATAGGAAGTTATGGGGAAAAAGCTGTCATTTGAAAAAGTAATCTCTCTTGCCATTTAAGTTGCCTAAGCACATATTGTCATCAAAAGCAAAGTTATTAATTAAAAAAAAAAAAAAAAAAAATTGTGCTGCAGCAAAAAAGTGTCAGCCAGAGGTTAAATCTTGGCTCAAGCTGCTGTAACTTTGTTTCTAGAATTACATGTGTGATTTGATATGTAAGAGTGAGTTCTCCTGAAGTCAGCAGAACAATGCCAGCTTTCACATTTTTTTAAAACTGGTCAAATTTAAATGTGACTTCAGTACCTGACCCCAGTGCCTAAGTCAAAAGTAAAATGTCTGATCTATTTATGTAGATCGAAAAGAAAGCACCTTCCCCTCAGTAGTAGTCAGGGCTCGTTAACAATCACAGTAGTATTTTACCTCATTATGACTTGAAATGTGACCCTCATAGAAACAAATAGTTGGGCAATTGTAGGCTATGTTGACTTCATTAGCAAGATTGCATAAAACTGCCCAGCATATCGTGTGATACGTATGTTCTAGAAAACAAAAGAATTGTGCTTTAAAATGAGTTGAGTTGCACATCTATTTCTGGGGAACAGGCTGCTTGTTTGCTGTTTTATAATTTTTAACTTCTGCAAATTGTAACACCAGATGGCCTGTTGAGCCAACAATAGATCATCATGTCTCACCACAATGGGATCTCTTTCTGGCTAGCTTGTGTTGAAGCAGTTAGATGTCACTCCTCACCAAGCACATTCCTAACAACTTCACCTTAATTATTTTCTTCCATCTGGTCTGTGGTAGTATAAACAATTTCCTGCCTCCTTTCATAGCATCAGAAGTGCACATAAATAAGCAATCTAGTGCTGAAACAATTCTTTTGAACACATTAAATTCCATTCCTGGATGCTAGCAGATCCCACACTTTCATGGGTAACTGAATACTCATACTAATTACAGTAAAGAGTTTGATAATTATTTCTATTTTTAAATTATGCTCTTTGATTTTTATTCCCACAGAGGTCTCAGTCTGCATTCTCCCTGGCTAGTGAAGATATGCCCAGTAAAGGACTAGACCTTGCATCATCTGTGACTGAGGCTCTTTGGAGGCAGCAAAAAGGACAATTCAGGAAGCAGAAGGAACGCAAGCTCTCTGCATTACCCAGCTGGAAAAGTGTGGACAGACTAAATGAAACAAGTAAATATTTCTAGTACGAATATGATTCTTTTTTTGGTTCTCAGTAACATGTGGAATAAATACAACTTAAATCAAGGACCTTCTCCAGGAAATTTCTGCTGACCTCTGTGCTTGCAAGGGTCGCATGTAAAAATGTCTCATTGATGATGTTAAGAACCATGATTTCATTGGGCTGTGTCATTGCTTATCCTACCTTTTTTTTTTTTTTTTTTCCCCCACCAAGAAAGGATTCAAAATTTTCGCCTTTGGGGAGTTGATTTTGGACTGTTAGGAAACGTTGGTCATCTAATTTGGATACGTTTCAGAGCTTATACGACACAAGAGCAGAAGCACCCTGCTTTGTCACCTGGTTATCTGTTCTCTAGTTGAAGGAGTTTGCATCTGCCCATGGTATCCCTTTTGTTGCACAAGTTAACTATTGATGAGGTTACATGGTGAACCAAGCAGTGAAATAATTCACATTTAGGGTTCCCCCTTGCACCTTTATTTTCGACCCCAGTGAATTCACCAATGCACTGTTCTGTGCAGCCCTACTAACTTCTGTTTCCACACAAGTTTGAGGAAGCTGTGTGAGAAGGAACTCCACAGGCCAGCAATTCCCTTAGATCTGTCCTCTGTCTCCGTGCATTAGGTATGAATGTGAATGTGGGTTGGTGGATGGTGAGCAGCTTCCCAAGTCAGCCCCGTTCCTGAATCAGCACCCTGGGATAGAATGCAATTCCCTGCTTACTTCAAGATGACAGAAGTACAGGCTGTCACTGAAGAAGGTGGTTCCTGCTCTTGGGGCGGGGGGCGAGGTGTCCCACTTCCACTGCCTCTCGTGTCCTGGCTGTAGTGCTCATGAGGCCACAAGAGTGCAGCACCAGGCCACTGCTGCACAGAAGAGTTTGGTTAGTTTTCACCCCCCCAGCTGCACAAGGGGCAGGGCTGAACTGCTCACTGCAGTGGCAGCCCCTGGTTCCAGGTGACAGGGAACAGCAAAGCTGACGTACCTGCTGCTGTTGTCCTCCCATGGCACAGTCTGTTACCTGCTTCTTGTCTTCTAACAGCTGTAGAGCCCATCTGACCACTGTGTTAAATTGGTTCATGAAGCTAATAAACAAGCAGAAAACTTTCCTAGGGTGAGTTTACAGGTGCTGTAACTCCCACAACTGGCTCACTACGCACTGGCAAGCAGAAACAGCCAAAATATGTGTTTGGGTTTAGTGGGGACTAGGGATGGGGGCTGCCCATCAGTTCAATTTGTGTATCTGTAATGCCAGTTGATAACCCGGGAGGCTGAAAATTAGGCAGTATCAATACCCCTCCTCCACCCAGAAAGGAAGTGTTAGTAAAGTAGTACTAAAATCTGATTTAACTAAGTATGCATTACTTTGTGAACTGCTCATTCAAGCCCCTGCCAGAAGTGTTGCTCTCCTGGGCATTTTAGTGGAAGGCCTGTTTTCAGTAAAGCAGTTAATTGGGTGCTTAAATTTAAGAACCCACTTCAATCCCATTGAATTCAACTGTTGAGCAATTTAGTACTTAACAATTGCTTAAACCTAAAAAAATGACAGATTGACCCAGATTCCTTTCAGGTGCTCTGCTCAGAGGATTTGTTCTGCTTCTTTCTAAGAACCACATTTGTGATGAAACTGTGCTGCCTATTGAGCTTATATTAAATAGCTGATTGTGTTAATATGTGTAAATATGATCTCACCTATGCAGTAGTAAACAGCTCTGTATTAGGATACAGAAAATTAAAGAAATCTCAACCAAGATTTTGGAGTAGTAACATCAGTGGGCTTTTTATTCGTGTAGCCAAAAAGCAGTTCACAATTCATTTTGATTACAGTTTGCACTGGTTTAGATGATGACTCAAGAGCCAAATCATCAATCTGTGCCTTTTTCCCCTTTACCAATAGTTTCACAATGAGACTTCTTAAATCTATTTTCATTTTCACATGGATAAAATAGAGCGTATACCCAAAGAATTGTGTGCAGAATCCATTCTTTCAAGTAAGTGACTTTGTTTTGGAAAATCAGGAAAGAAGCATCTGACATTACTTGAAGCTGGGATAAAAGTGAGTCAGCTTTCTGAATATAAAGTTCTCAGTGGCTTTCCTTTCCACCCTGCTTATCCTCTAAAACGTAATCAACTATTATCCTGTCCTTTCTTCAGATAACTGAGGATGTTTGAACAATTTTAATTTGTTGTTGCTAAACAAAATAAGGGGCTTTGGTTTGGGAGAGAAGATAGTATGTGGCACTCCACTGCATTATGTTTGTATAATGTGGTGCAGCTGAATTCAGTTCCTGTTGGAGAGTTATGTTGTGCAGAGCTGTTTGCTTTATTTGAAGGAACAGTGTTTTTAAGAAAAGGTCTTCTTTCTCTCAAGAGAATCCTATTCTTAGATTAGTGAGCATAGTTGGAAAAAATGAACAAGCAGAAATTCCTTATTCTTGATAGCTTGTATGCTTTTTTTCTCCAAAATCAGCTGTTACAATAAAGAATTATCAGTTCTTCTTATAAATCTGACTTTAGTTATATCCTCAGCTGGTCACTGCTACAAGAAAACTATTACTATTTTGTTTTTTTTTTTAAGGAGGAGTAAGAATGACTTCAGTGATCGTTTTTCTCAAGTTCTCTGAATTGGCATGAAATTTAGGAAGTAAAAGCAAGCTAAAAGGACTCAAATGAGTAACAAGTACAAAAACTGTTCTAAAACTTATATAGCTCCTGGGTTGAATTACCATTTAATTATTGTTTCATTTTAGTGGGAGTCTTTTGATGGTGGTAGTGCACCACAGACATTTTGGCGTTTTTTTAAACTAAGCGTACTTTCTTACTTCAAACCTATGTTCTTTATGAACAATTCTGAGAAAAAAATTCGTATTCTTGAGCCCCAAGTATTTATAATCATGTAATGCAAGATGCTTGTATATCATCTACAACACGATCCAGGTTTTACTTCATCCATTACTAAATAATGATGTTCTGTTTACAATTTTAGAAAGCTAATAGTTTATAATAAGTATTTCTACACTTTTCTGGAAATTACAAATTTGAATCCATGGAAGGAATCCATAAGGCTGAAAAGTTCATTCAGTAGGCTGAGATTACTGTGTAAATCCCTGGCATTATATATTTATTCAGCTGCTGTAGGAGGTAGAGTCACCACATATTCACATTTCCCATGAAGGGACTTTTCAAGTTTGGTTGGAAATGAAATTTAAATTTAGAAAAAATGCAATGTTCTGAATTATACAGCACTTTTTGACTGTATTTTGGCTTTTTTTTTTTCTTTTTTCTGTCAGAATTGTAAAACATACTCTGAAAAAGTGTAAGAATACAAGAGCAGCAGTGCTTGGGTCAGACAAAAAACTCATTTAGTCTAGGATACAACAGCAGCAGCAACAGCAACAATAAGCAAGAGCCTAGGAAATACTAGGAGAAAGCAAGTATTTTTCATGCTGCCTCTGAGTTGAACCTCCAGCACTTTCAACTTAATGACTGTCTCAGCTAGAAGTGTTTTTCTGTATTTAGTAAACCTTAGTGGATTTCTCTTCCATGTCCATAACCATCTATTTTAGCTCAGATTAATTTCTGGCATCCATTACACCCTTAGGCAAGAAGCTCCATAGGTCTGGTACCCACTGCATCCCACTTCTTTTGTTTGTTTTGAACTTTGATTTCTCTAGTAGTTAGGTTGGAAGAGATTCCCCCATCTCTTAGCATGTGTCTTCTGTCTTCTCCAGATGGCAGAGCTCTGTCTTACTTAATCATTCCTTGAATGGAAGCCCTTTCAGAACCTGGTGCAACCTTTGTTGCTCTTCTCTGGTCCTTTTTCCGTCCTTCCTCTTCAATATAGGAAACCAGAATTGCACACAGAATCGAAGACATTTGCAAAACACAGGATTTATACATGTCTGTGTACTGATGTACTCAGCCTTTCCTAATAATTCTTTTAGAAAAAGATTTGGTCCAAGTACTCTCACATTTTAAAGTCATCACCATGACTTTAAGTAGTGGTTTCTGATTAAAAGGAGCACAGCAGCATGGCTCACTACATGAGGGAGTTCATGTAGCATCAGCACTTGCATTTCATTAGTTTTGTTGAAGTCTTCAATTTGTGGCCAGCTGATCACAAACTGGCAAGTAAAATGGGACTTTCACACTGTGATCACAATTGTTCTTGTTTGATTTTCATAGATCCGCCTTCTGTTTTTCAAAGCACTGATGGAAACTGGGTAGCTTTGCAGAATGTCACTTTGCCTCGTCCTCGAATGCTCGTCAAACCAAAGAGTCAAGTATTCGAAGCTCTGGAGAATGAATCCAGTGTTGTGTCTGCCTATGATGAGATGGGCTCAGACAGTGAGGATGACTATGACTGGAATGTGGCCTTGAACAAACTGCGTGGGAGATCTCAGCAATTACCAGATGATTTCTGTTACAGCAATTCCCAGTATGGTACTGAATGGGTTTATGGCAATGATCAGTACCAGGCAGTGACTTCCCCTTCCTCTGGGTTATACACCAATACTGAGACACTGTTCTCTGATTCAGAAACATCTTCAGTAAATTCTTCCCAGGAAGCTAAAGGACCTAGCAAACTTCCCTGCCTACAAAGCAGAACTCAAAGTGATGTGCCCAGAATGGAAAAAAAAACATTTCCATGGAGAACTGGATGTAAATTTCAATCCACAGGCAACCAGTTTGGAGTATTCGGACAGCAGTGAGACTGAAGAAGTCTGTTATGATTTAGGAAAGAGGTCAAGAAGGTGGAGGAAGAACAAAGTGATCTCTGAAGAATTATGTGAAGAAAAAAATTACACAAAAGTCAACAAGATGAATTTAAGTCAGGTAAATGTGTTGAAGTTTATCAAATGCGTTCTCAAAAAGAGCTGGGCAAAACTAATTAAGCTATGCTGGCAATAATGTGAATTGTGAGTGGAAAGTACAGTGTGCTTGCAAGTTTTATCTTTCTCATGCCTCCTGACTGAGAAGAAACAAAACTGGAGAACTGTTACTCCAGCCTCAAGTACACAAGCACTGCTGGGAGCAGGAATGGACTGGGTACTACAATTTACAGCAAGGATGTTGCACGGTTGAATAGTTCTTAAAAGTAACTAAAATTATGATGAGCGTAAGGAATATGATTTGAGGTAGGAAAATAAACTAGCCAGACGTCATTTATATTGCTTAGAAAAATTAGATTAAAGGGATGTCAGGGTTTCATATAATCCCCAGAGTAATGTATTGATCTTGGTAAAATGATTAAGTCTGAAGCAGAGAGCCCTACATGCAAACTGTACAAAGCAGTAGTGTAGGTGCATGAAGAACTGCAGACAGTGTAAACTTAACAAAGCTTCATTTTGGGGTCTTAAATGAGGCATAGATTTTCACATGCTGAGATTATGCAGAATTTGTAGAAACCATACAAAATGCTCTTCTAAAAACTGTGTTGCATCTAGATATTAGACACCGAACAACTGATTATATGTAAATTGCAGTGAAGAAACAGACTTTTTCCATATTTTACTGCATTGCAGTAATAACCTTATTTTACAGCATTGTAATAATAAGATGATAATTTGTTAACCATTATGTTTTCATCAGCATTGTAGAACAGGATTTCAGTTTAGCAGTCTAAAAGTCAGCTTTTGGGGTTTAATTTTCAAATAGTAAAGGTTGCTCTCTTGTTTGCTGCTCTCTGAGACTCACAGTGAAATGAAAACAGGCCCTTTCCTCTCTCCGTGCTCCAAGTCTAGAGAATTGTAAGCAGTTACGTTCTTTAACAATTGCGGTCATTTCATAACTCACAACTTAATTTCGATTTAAAATCAGGTATTTTTTAATCAAGATCCAGTACCTAGATTAGGATAATGCTGTGGCATTTATTTAAAAATGTACTTTAGATTCAACACGGGAATACTGACTTTGTGACTTAGAGAGAATTCATTGTATAAAGTCTGAAGCAACTTGAAAAGGGAAACCTGAGAACAGATATCAAGATGTACTGTATTTGGGGAGAGTTTTTTGCCGCTTAATGATAGGTAAAAGAACAACGTGCTTTGCTGGGTTGCCTGTAGAAATGCTGTAAACGCAGTCATGAAGCAAGACATGAAAACTGTTCAGATAAAACCAAGGTCCTACTGTAATAAATTTCTGATAACCGGATTGCTCATGTACCACAGAAGACTTAGATTCATGTGGAAACTGAACTGAGAAGTGCAACCTTGCTTTTAATTATAATTATTTTTCAAATTGTAACTTTTTACAAGAAATTGCCACTCAAGCCACCAATCTCCATCTGCTTTCATTGTTATTAATAATATTGATATATTGGCTTTCATTATCTTTTTGAGAGGAGATGTTGCTTAGTGTAGCTGCAATTCTTGTATTTCTGAGGGAAAGTGGAATGGCTTAATGGATTCAAGTGAAGGAAGTGCCCTTGTTATGAGTTTGCTGCTTTGATCAGGAGGCCCTACCTGGTAATTACACCCCTCCTGCAGCCAGGTAAGGGGTGAGCGCTGTCAGACTGCTGGTCCCCACGGGATGGCGCTTGGGATGCATTTATTGAAAATAGGAGCCCTGAAATTACACCAGCTCTCACAGAAACTGTCTGCAAACCTCACAGTTTGTGTCTTCTAAAAATTACAGTTTATGATTTTTGGTTTCCTATATGAATGGAGCTTTCTCTCAAGTGTTTATAGTATAACATGGATTTGGTTCTGGAGCCTCCAAGCCAGTACTTCGCTTGCTTGATTGATTTTGGGGCTTTTTTTTGTTTGCTAAGATTACATTGAGTTATCAGCCATTTGCATGCAAGGATTTGGACAGTGTGTATGAGGAAAAGTGTATTTCCTAGTTCATTGTCTGCTAAAGGACTTATGGTTGCATAGAAACACTTAATTTTCTTTTAGTGAGACTGGTTTTGTGGCTGTGTTAGTCTGCCAGGCTCTCATTTAAGCTCCGTTTTCAGATACGGAGGTAGCCTTTTATACTTGTTTGCAGACATTAGTATTATATGTTTGTTAGATGCAAATGAGAATTTACACAATGATTTATATGAACACAAAGGTGTCATTAAACTTACCAGGTAAAGTGTGAACAGTAAAGAAAAATGCAGTTTAAGATAGCATCTATTAAATAAATAATAATAATAGTAGTGCTTTTCAATGCATTTAGTACTTTTTATTGTTGACATAGGTTCTGAAACATTTTTAAATCTTTGTTAATCCATGAAAGAGGTGGCATCTCCTCACAAATAGCTCACTGCCACCGTCTGAAAAGCTCAACACACAAGCCGAGCAGCCTACCAGTCACAGGAACCACAAAGTGTGGTGTTATAGGGTATCATTATCTCTGCGTGTAAGGAGGAACTAACAACTCTTGAAAGTGCAAATACTCCACCTGCTCATTGTAAGGAAGTTGGAAAACAGACAAGTGCATAATAGACATACCTGAATCCAGCTGTAATAAAACCCTCAAGGTGAGTCCTCCCCCAAGAAACAATGTGTATTCATAACACAAATTTAGCTAATGTGGAATAAAACTGTAGGGATGCCAAGGCAACTCATGACTCTCACCTGTGCTGGCAAATGTAGAAAAAAGCTCTTCAAGTTTCCCAGCCAGTGAGTTCGGAAAATCCTTTTATATATGTCTTAATGTGTAAGCTGGAATTGGGAATGTTTGGTAACTGTGTGACGTGTGGCTGTGTAACACAGCAGCTTGCTGCTGCCTGAAGAGGAATACCTCCTTCCTTCCTGCCTCCCGTGGGGTTCCCCTTGTCAGCTCTAGCACACCTTCTGACCCCTTTGCCAAGCCTGCACAACTCCTTAAACAAAGTCAAGGACAGGAGGCTGCAGGGTGGCTCTGGGTACCGCTAGGTTGTTACACTAGCTCACCTTGTTTCATAAAACTACATCCTCAATTTTTTTATCCTGCTGTAGCTGGGCGACTTCGCAATACTGTCCTGCCATGCCTTCCTCCAAAATACATGGGAAATCAGCTGCAGGGTTCTCCGGGATTTCACTGAGCTTTGGATAGAGGCAGGAGAGACCAGCCTAAAAGGTGCTGCCTTGTGTGATCCTAGGAAGACTGGCATTCAGGATCAAGAGGAGTTGTGATTCTGCTGTTGTCAGTAGGGATTCTTTAAATTAACTGGTGGTGCTTTCTGTGAGGTTATGTGTGTATTGCTACTCCAATATAGCTGCTAAGCAGTTCCAGCTAAGCAGGTCTATGTGAGAAGTCCCCAGAGGAATCATGCGTGTCTTGCTGCACGATGAAGTCTGTCAGTACTTCACAGTACAGCAGTGAGGTGGAAACGTGGGAAATCCTGCCCCTCTGGACTGCCAGCCTCCCTTGCTGCTCCACTAGTTTTTATACACGTATTTCTTAGCTTATTTAAACAAGAATAGCAAACTTTTTTCATTACAAGCTTGATCTGCTCAAATACCTGCATAGAATGGGATTTTCTTCTCTTCTTTGCAGACTTGGCCCCGGGGTAAACCATACTCTTCCTGCCTAGACCTGCTGGAAGAAGCCCACACCACTGGTGCAGAGCTGTCAGAGCTCACTAGCAAGTCTTGTAATCCTAAACCACATTTTCATAGATGAGAGTAGGTTTATGGAGGTAACACAAGTAAGGAGGGGTTCTAATGATTAGCTTAGACTAGATCTCTTAACTATAAATAGCTCGAATTTAATGAGACGTATGTCCACTAAACTGTATTATCCTAAAATACAAGTGCACAGCTTAGCTGTGCTTTCTATCCTGTAAATCCCATAAATTATGATTGTTTCTCTCCTGGGTACAAATTGATGAACTGATTGATTCAGCAACAACTTTCAGATTTTTTTATAGTAGTTTAGTGATACATATTTTTTATTAGCAGATTGTTGGGCAGGGATTGTAATGAGTTATTGAATGACATGCAAAATATGTCTGGAAAAAAAATGTCTTCTTACCATCTGAGGAAGCACCATTATGATAAATGTAGATTTGTAGTTAAAAAGGTGAAATGACACCAGTCTTCTACATGTATATAAAAGCATATCACAACGTACTATAAAACTAAGGTGGCAACACAGTGATCTGAAATCTTGCTCTCAGTCTTACTCAGAACAGCTTCAAAGTTCATTTGTGAAAAAAGGCTTTTTATTTTGCAAAAGCTCTGATTGTTTGGGAAAATAATAAATTTCAGCATAAGCCTGTGATTCCCCTTCTATCGTAGCTAGTCATGTACTTTCAAATCCTGATTTTCCAAAACAGCCTTCTGCATCCTGAAGGTGAGCTGTAAAGCAATAGTTTAGTTGTGTAATTGATTCACAGATAACTGCAGACAAAAACTGTCCAGAAAGCTGTAAAAGTGCTAGACACTACAGTACGGTTTACTGTATGAGAGATGAGGACTGGCATTATGAACACGACACGTCAATCCATTAAGAGCAGTCTGGCAGGTAGGGTTTGTGAGAAAGTTGGCAGTGTTAACATTACCTGTAAGGACCGGAGGGAGTTGATCCATTCATAAATACTGCTTCTGTGGCTGCAGAGGGAGTAGCTGCGCAAAGCAAATCTCCTCTTTATGTATTTCCAAATGCATGGTAGAGAGAACACAGCTTTTAGCCTCTCCAGCAGTGTCTGGTCTTGTCGTGGTAGGAGAGCGTAAGGCAAATAGGAATCATTTCCTATCTGGGAGTTGCTCCAAATCATCCTCTTAGACCTGCTGAGATGTGCCTACCACTTCTGGTCTCGGGCTGCATTCTTCATCGCCTCCTTCCGGGTGGTTTTGTCATGATTATGCTCCATTTCAAAGAATTCATCACTTTTAAAACAACCTAATTCCACCGTACTTTATGAACTTGACTGAAGCACTAAATTAACTGTCCAGTGACTCAAAACTTTCTCTTAGCAGTCAGCAGGGAGAGAATAACATTTCCAGAAAGCAGTTAATGATATAGGTGGAGCAGGTCACACTGGGAGATATCTGTTTCTCTCCAGGGACTGTAGTGGAAATCGGGGAGAATTGGGTCCTAATCAGATAGCACAGATCCAGAAAATGAATTAGTATGTATCTGGACATTACCTTTGGAACAACCATGGGGTATTTTCAGATTTCCTGCAAAGGCTGACAAAAATGTCCCCCTTTCCACATTATTAAATGTTGGGCAGGCACCCTGCTAAACAGACTTGAGAAAAGATTTCATGTTTTCTTGTGTTCCACCTCCAAATTAAGGGACTTGAGGTTGAGTCTGTAACACCCACTGTACTTAACTGTGCCTCTGAGTACTTCCCACCTTTAATGATCCAAGAGTAAGAAAAGAAGGTGCTCCTAAATATTGAACTTGTTCCAAAGAGGTTGGCATCTGGAAAATAATTGTCACTGTAGATGATCCATCTATGTAAATAAGCACTGGGAAAGCTGAAAATCTTAAGCACCATCATGTAATAAAAGAGAGATTTTTGAAAATTTATTTCCAGTAGTGTTTAAGAAAAACACAGATAATGCTCAAGACTAAGCAGTCAGGGAACTCAGGCTCAGCTTTCAACTGAAAGCTGGACACAGCTGCTAGGTCACAAGTTATTTCATTCCCACACTTCACTTTCTTTACCTGCACCATGCCTGAGAGTGGTGGCAGTGCAGTGCTGGAAATGAGAAGTGCCATTTAGGCATATTTAATTAGTTGCACACAGATACATAATGTTTTTGAAAGTTTCTGTTTACATAATATAAAAGTAAGCAAGAATGATAAATATAATCCAACAATTGTGGGTTTACAGACGTTCCTCTGTAAAGACATGGTATTTTTTTATCAGCACACTTAGTGTACTTTCTTTCTAGTTTCCCTATGGTGTGATCGTACCTATGCTTTTCTAGGAAGCAGTTTGGTTTTCTTTCTGTGTCTATGAAGTAATTATACTGTTCTTCTAATTTCTTTGTAGGATTTTGATGATTTATCAGAAACTGATATAAGCAGTGAGGATCAGCGTCATAATATTAAGCCTGACCTTATGGAGGAGGAGCTTAAATCCAGGTTATTTCAGCTTGCTGCTAAAATGAGTGACAAGGAAACATCTTCTGGTGAAGAACAAGAGTCAGAACCTAGAACAGATCCTGAAAACCAGAAGGAGAGTTTGTCCTCAGAGGAAAATGGCAGAAGTATTCAGGAAGAGTTAAAGAAGGTAAGTGGTCGTTGTAGAGCAGTGGGAACAGTATTGTAAAAGTTAGAATCCAGAAAGAGAAACTTGTGGTTAGAGAATTAAACATAGTTGCTTAAGAAAACCTGAGGTCCTTTATACTGTTTCTGAGCCTGCAACCCTTGTCCAGGTAAAATTTCAATCAGGGCGTGTGTTCCTCCCTGTGAGTCTACAGCATCAATTCAAAACAGTGAACTTAGCCTGTGTAATAAACCTGTTAAGTGACTGATACTGACTGAGGGTTGGCTTATATGTTTTTATTTTAAAAGAGATCCAATTCTCCTTTTTTCCTCCTTGCTAACCAGCTGGTTTAAGTGAGTTTTTTCAGTCCATTTATTTGCTTCTCTTTTTAGTAACATGTAGTTCATTCTGATGTCATAGATTCTTCTTTTGCCTCTCTATTGCAGTATTTTGTGCTTCTTTAAAGCTTTCCAACCCTGTTACTCTGTCAGCTAATTGGCCTCTGTGAGTAGTAACATATTCTAGTGAAACTGAAACCCAGCATCAGTTCTGGTAATGTATGAGATCCTCTGTGCCATTCACCTCACAGGACTGAACCACCCTCTCTTCCCTTTCTACCTCTGAATTTCTCTTCAGATCATGTGGTGTGCTTGAATTTGGTGCTGTAGAAGCCCAGTACTGCTCCTTGCCAGTAAAACATTCTTTTCCCTTAGATCCGCTTTGGCTTATTTTTGTCTGGTGTGTCTTGACTTACCTCTTGGGTTTTTGTCTGCACAGCAGCTCAGCTTTGACAGGGAGTGTGGAGAAGTCTCTAAGGGAAATCTATCCTTCATCATTTGAAAGGTGTTTTGTTCAAATTATATAAAGAACTATTACACCGGGAGGTGGAAGCAGGATCAAGTGACCCAGGTAGATAATAGGGATACTGTCCAAACGTGCAGGAATGGTGTCAGGAAAGCCATTGCCCACCTGGAGTTGAATTTGGCGAGGAACACGAAGGGAAATAAGAAAGGCTTCTACAGATATATCAGCAACAAAAAAGCAGATGAGGGAAAGCAGGGCTCACTACTGCAGTGACCTGGTGACACAGAACATGGAAGAGGATAAGTTACACAACATGGTTTTCACCTCAGTTTACAGGCAAGATTTGTCCTCAAGAATCCCAGGCCTCTGAGACCTATGGGAAAGTCTGGAGCAATGAAGGCTTTACCCTTGTTAGAGGAGGGTCAGGTTAGCAAATATTTCAACAAATGGGACATACACGTGTGCATTGCACCCAACGGGGATGCACTCGCAAGAGCTGAGGGAACTGGCCCATGTCGTTGTGAGGCCACCATTGTTCATCTTTGAAAGATCATGGTAATATGAGGCATTCAGAGCACTGAGTATTGTTTAATTTGACTTCAACAAGGCTTTCAATACTGTCTCACATAACAGCCTCACAGAAAAATTGAGCAAGTAAAGACTAGATAAGTAGACAGTAAGAGAGATTGAAAATTGCCTGAATTGCTGGACCAAAAGTGTTGCAATCAGAGGCTTGAAATCCAGCTGAAGGCCAGTTGCTAGTGGTGTACCCCACTGGTCAATACTGGGACCAGTACTGTTTAACTTCTTCACTATTGACAGAGACAATGAGACAGAGTATACACTAAATTTGGAGGAGTGGTTGATATATGAGATGGTTCTGTTGTTATTCAGAGGATCTTGACAGGTTGGAGAAATGGGCTGACAGAACCTCATGAGGTTCAGCAAAAGGAAATGCAAATTCCTGCACCTGGGAAGCAACTATCCCATGCACCTATACTGGCTGGAGGCCATCTGGCTGGGAAACAGCTTGGCAGAAAAGGATATAAGGGTCCTGGTAGACACCGAGCTGAATATAAGCCATCAACATGCACTTGCAGGAAAGGTTACCAGCATCCAGCAGACTGAGGAAGGCGATTATTCCCGTCTATTCAATACTGGTGAGGCCACTTCTGGAGTGCTCTGTCCTATTCTGGGCTCCCCAGAACAAGGGAAGGGACATGTGGACATGCTGAAGTGAGTTCAGTGAAGGGCCACAGAGATGACTAAAATATTGAGTCATCTATCATACGAGGAGAGGCTTTGAGAGCTGGAATTGTCTAGCCTAGAGAAGGCTCAGGGAAGATCTCTTCAACATGTATAAATATCTGATGGGTGGTTGGATGGGTGTGTTTGAGGTGGGAAATGAAGTGAGAATCAGACTCTTCTCACCCATGCCCAGTGACAGGTCAAGAAGCAGTGGGCACAAACTAATATAAGAAATTCCATCTAAACATAAAAAGATTCTTCACTGTGAGGGTGGTCAACTGCAGCAGTAAGTACTTTTATCATCATGTATGCAAATATCTCTGTGATGTACAAACAACCTTTTTAAGGAAATCAAGTAAAAGCTTTATCACCAGTGCTTGTTAGCAGCATTCAATTTAGCTTGTCTCTGTTTCATGTAGTTCATGTGAGATATGTAAGGATTTAGGTGGGTATTAATTAACACAAGTTAATTTTATGCCTTACACTGAAATCCGCTTAGACCTTCAGCACAATCGTTTTCAACATTTCTCAGTTTTTGATTGCCTAAAATGGCGTTGTGGAAATTCACAGCTCTCTAAAACAAACATAATCCTACAGGAGACTTGTTTTTATGGATAGCATTTTGTGCTTATTAAGCTACAGAAGTAGTTCATGGTCTTTCTGGGGTATGCAGACCCCTGAAAAGCCTACTTGGCTCAGCTGTGCAATGAAAGCCCATGGAGTCCTCTGTGCTCAGAGGAGAGTTATCCTTCAGCCCCTCTAGACTTCAGGTGTGAACAAACCAAAAATCCCATTGTGCAACTGTTGTGTTAGTGAAGCATCTTGTACTAGCACAGTGATTTGCACAGCTCTTTCTGCCTTGCTCTTTTTTTGGTTTTGGCTTTGTGTTTGGTTTCTTTGGGGTTTTTTTGCTTCACACCCCCCCCCCCCACACACACACACATAACTAAATGCCTAAACTAAAAAGCAAAATGTAAATCCCCCTCTAAGTATCTTAATGACATTGAGAGTAACAAGCATGATAAATGGGATATATTTAGTTCTTGCTTTCCTCTATCCTTTCTCCTTCTCTTTTAATGTTTTCATGAAGATAAATAGGCTGGATCTGTATTTCACGGTGTACCCCAGAATTACATTGTAGAAGGCAATTTCAGCAGTGCCTAATGCAGATTGCATTTTAAATGTAGTCTATCACTGTGACTGCTTTATCAGAAACTATAGAGATACTGTTTAAAAGACAGAATAGTCCCTGCTATTTTTGCACATTTCCCCACATAGCATAAAAACTGAAAGAGTTGTTAAGATCTTGTTTTTCTCTTTTTGTGTCCTTCTACTTTGTACTCCCCCTTGCTTAAGTTATGCAAATGAGCAAATGAGTTAAACTTCAGTGGTAACCTTGAGTTTCTTCTTTGCATTAGCTTGTTGAAACGTGCTGTGTGCTTGAGGAATTTCTTTTCATCCCTTTATGCATTCACTTCTGGTCAGAGAATTTTATAACCAAGGCTTAGTAACTTTGTTTAAATCCTGCTGTTTTCTGTTGAAATTATTACATGACTAAGCACACAGCTGCGCTTTTCGGAATGACAACCTATGAGTAAGTTTGTTAAGTAGCACAGTTAGGGATCCCATTCCCTAAGTGAAACCACCGAAGTTCCTTGACAGTATGAATAACAGCATAAATACTATTTCCATAAAATATTTATGCCTTCATTCTCTGGAAACATTTTATTCCTCTTAGGTTTTATAAAGCTTTATTTGGGGGAATGTACTACAAGCATCATCTTCATGTGTATTGGTACCAGAGAGCTATATTCTTTGTTTTGATAGAGTACATCTTACATTTTTCTCCAGGTAAATCAGCACTTTTCAACTACCTGTATAATGGGGTTGACCCTTGTTAGAAAATCCACCTGCCACCTCTCTTCAGCAAGAGGCATAGCCGGTAGCTGTGCACGTGGGTGCGTGTTACCACAGCAGAGGAGACAGCCAGCTCCCTGGGGTGGTGCGTGCTGGAGGCCGTGCCCGGGGCTGGCTTTGGGGAGGGTGGCCAGGGCTCAGTAAGGGGGGTCAGGCAAGGCAGGGCTCATGGGGCTCGGTCGCTGGAGAGAAATATGCTCACAGCCTTGATGGAGCTGGAGGATGGCATCGGACGTGCACATGGCAGTGAATCCCACCTGCCTCTCACACCCCTCTTAAAGCATCCCGGTCGGGATGGCGGCGGTGTTGTAGCAGCAGTGCTGTAATAACGAGGGAGAGCCTGTGTCTCCTGGTCGCCGGGCTTTTCTTAATCATTTGTGCTGGTGCATGCACTGTCCTCACAGAAGATCATGTAGTAGTTTCCGGGATTATCTTGCAATTCCATGAACTCCTGGGTATTTTGATTGATTGGTGTGTTGGTCCAGGCGGGTGTTAATAGGGAACTGCCATTCAGCTTCATATGTGTGACAGCTTTAGAAATGACTGAGTAAAAGGACCTAAAAGAACCATAACCCCATGGCTCACTTAAGCAAGAAAACGTAATAGCATAAGTATAGTAGCTTCACTGCATTGCTACTGCTATGCTAATAAGGCTGAACAGTGTAATGCAATGACATCTTCCTGGATTAACAACTCGGAAGATACTTGTGTGTCCGTTGTTTCACATTTTTGTATGCATGTCGTGGTTTAGGCCTGATTGGCAGCCAACCACAATGCAGCAGCTCTCTCTCCCTTCCCCTCCGGCAGTGAGAAGGGACAGAGAGCCAGGCTTGGGGTTCGAGATAGGACTGGGATGGGGAAAAATCCCCCTTTTATGATCACGAGCAAAAGGCAGACTCGTTAGGGGAAGAAAAAAAGAACATACATTTATTACAGACACTACCAACACATAACAGAGTAGGACAGTGAGAAGCATTGCCACATCTTGAGAACACCTTCCCCCCACCCCTCCCTTCTTCCCGGGCTCAGCTCTGCTCCCAATATCTCTACCTCCT